AAATAAAATAAGTAAATTAAGATACATTTTAAAAATAAATTACCTGTTTTCAAAGGATCCAATACTAACTGGGACACACTGAACTCTCCACATTCCATTTGTATCTGTATAAATAACAAATTTAATTGATGGAGTTATTGAAAGCTGTTCTTCAAGAGTTAGAAGATGATCTTTCCAAGGACAACCACCATTTTTTAAATCAATAATTTCTCCACTAGAATCAACCTTTGCAACAAAAATAAAATATTGAATAAAATTTGAAATTTACTAATTTCTTTTAATAGCACAATGTTTTACCTCTTCTCTGTTTTTAATTGCACTCTGAACTATTTCTCTAGCTGGCCACCAAACATTATTGTAAAATAAGACTTTGTCCACAAATTCTGAACCAACTAATTCCATTGCAGAAGGAAAAATTTTCTGAAAATAATAAATCACTACATATTATCTCATAGGACAAGGACAAGTCAATTAAATTCTACAAAGAACTATATTTAAGAAATTTAGAAAGTAACATTTTTCTACAAAATCTTCATTCTTGATCCATTACTTTTTCTATCATGCAATAAGAATAACAAAGACTTGAGAAAAGAAATTTTTCAGTTAAGCATAATACTAATTTTGGATAGAATCCTTCAATACTGGTTTGTAAACTTGAGGAGTAGATAAAGCAGATTTAAGAAATGATAATAAAAATGATTTTAATTTCAAATACACAGGAGAACACAATGTTTTAGACTTCAAAAGCCATACTTTTTGTTTATAATTAAGATAGAAAGATCTGTAATAAATCAATAGATTCTACAACTTTAATTATTTTTTCAAAGTAACTGAATGGCCTATCAATTTATAAAAAAACTAGCATCTGTCCATTGTTAAGAAATTCATTTAATTTTGCATAATATACGATTCATTGATAAATGCCATGTTTTCACATCCAAAATTATATTTCAATTCACAAAAAATAAAAAAAATAAACATGTCTCAAAGAACCAGAATATAGTTAATAACATTTTCAAAATAGTTCATTTCATCTTCAGACCACAATAAAAATCAACAAACATTTTAAAAACAATTTTTAAAATGCAAGTTCATAAAATCATCTTAAATACAACAAACAGAATGCATTAGGTTTTTTCTTTACATTAATTACATTTAAGTTCACTTTAATGTAATTAATGGAGTTCAAAGGATTTTAAAGATCTGCTGTCCCAGAATTTTGTATATTAGAACATAAAAAGACATCAAAATCACATTATATGAAATTTGCTCATCCTAAATTATTGCAAATATTTGTATGGCCAGAACTGGTAAGAGTTATTGAAAGAACCAGTAGAGAATAGATTCCAATAGAATGATGCAAGAACACATACAGCAAGCTTAAGTGTGAATGAATAAAGCTGGATAAAAAACTAGGCTAGACTTGGTCTACTTAGAGAAATTTCATTGCTACTCTGAGATATTTTGAAAATCAATTAAAAAATATCTAACATTGGTAAATAAATTTCATATAATGCATATTCTTTATTCTTTTGTGCAAAAAAATATTTTACTAAGTTTGAAAATAAGAGATAACATGACTTTTTGAAATTGAAACTACTTTGTAAAAAATTGCTAAAAACTATATACTGTAAATACTGGATATATCAGATATATCAATAATTCTCATCCTAATCTTTCAGTTAACCTCATAGTCTTATTTGCACAACCATAGTTTTTATAGACAAATGACACTTTCAACAATATTCCAATTCTTTTAAGACAAATTCCTCACAAATTAATAAGAATGGAATAGCTTTATAAATTCATCATCTTATATTTCAAAATATCCCTGTGAATTCATATTATCCTAAAATTTTCCAAATTTTATCTGTTGATAATACTGTATCTTTCTTTGACTTAAGTGAAGAACTGATGTTACCATTTCTTTAATTCATTCCAGTTCAAAATAATGCAGCCAAATTTCATCAAAGTTGTATTATAATTTTCTCTTTTTGACTAAAATAAAAATGATAAATATTTCACATTATGGAATGTTATAAGTTTTTTAATATTTATTCTGTTATTTATCAAAATCATTTTTGTCATTTTTTCTACATTATGCACATTATTATTGAAAGAACTTTTACAAGTTTCATATATTTATGCAATTTCGTAGCTGTAATGATATTTTTTTCCCCCTACTTCTTTCAGGTAGACTTCAATTATTTTCATTTTGTGAAGGTGATTGACAACCTTGTTAATCAGTTTTGTTAATAATTTTGATATCCATCATTAAATTTTTTGTGTCTTTCACAAAGACGACTTAGACAGTGACAAATATATTTTATATTATTGAAATAGTCTGTTGGTCTTTAAAATTCTCTTTTCTCAAAAGTATTGCAATAGAATATTGTTAAAATGCTAACAGATTATGAATTTTTGTTGACATCCTTTTATTTTTCTTATATTTTCTACTGATATTAATATTAATGAAAATGCTCTATCAGCAGAAAATAAAACAATTTATTAAAAGTCAAGTATTGTTTTTTTAATTCATTTAAAATGCTTATTTAATGAGTTTTTCTAAGAATTTATTACATACATCAGTATCTTGATCTTCACAGTTCCAAGGTGGATTTAAATGCTTCACTCTTGAACTCAAATTTGTTGTTATAAGATACCTATTTTAAAATTTCATACAAATCATCATTATTTTAGTTACAAAATACAGAAAATTATGAAAATAGATAACAAATTTACAATCTATATAGAATAATTCTAAAAATTACCTTCCAGGTTCATCATGAGTTGAAATACCATTATCAATAGCATCAATTTCTTCAAGAAAATGTTCATACATCCGATCAAATATAACTGAAGTCTTCTCACTATTACAGTCATCTTTAGTAATTGTTGCAATAATTTCACGACCAAAATGAAAGTAAACAAGACCAGCACTGCTAAGTTTAGTAACCCAAGGTTTATCACCACATAGACTATTCATACTTTCATTAAATGATCTAAATTAAAAATAATTATAAATAAATATTTAAGTAATGTTTTAATAAGATACAAATTATGTAAATAAAAATGTTAAAGCTTGATCTAAACCTATTTTCTTGATAAGTAGTCTTTCCTCACATTTTATAGTTTAATAATATAAAGCTGTGTGGAATGTTACATTAGAGTCTTATATGTTGTGTTATGGAATATACTAATATTCTAAAACTATTTATCAATTAAATATACATCAATTTATTCCAACCAAATTGCTATAATTCAAAAAGTACAGATTGTATGACAATCAATTCAGAGAAGCTAAATATAAAAACAGAATTTCAAATATTTACATAAAAACTAAATTATGAAAATACTTTATACATTGTTGATTTGCAAAGGATAGTTTTAAAATAAATTTTATATTTATTTAGGCACGTAAAATTTTAAAAAACTATTAATATATAAACAAACATATTTTTCTTTTATCAATTACATCATTGAAAATTTTAATTATACAAACACTTGTCTAAGATTGTTGCTTTATTTTTGAAATCTTGATTAAATTTAAAAAAAACATTACAGTAGAATCTGCTTATTGTAATGACTCTGAGATTCTCCTATACTGTTAACTATAACCATAATATTAAGGAGAGTAAGAAAATAAGATTACAAATAATGGAAATTCTGGTTTTATTGACTCTGGCATTAAAAAGACATGTTAAAACTATTTTAAAATTAATAACTTAGATTTACTAATAAGTATAATAATAATTATTATTTAATAGTAATTATATTTTAAAAACTGCATAATTGTTAATATACCACTCACCAAATAAACCATCACCAGTATGAAAGTAATGAGGAAGTTCACATTGAACTACATAATGCTAAATTGTTACACAGAGTAAGGCACAACTCAAGTACCTCGAATCGCTTGAGATCTATAGGGCAATTAAACAAGGAGTCGCTATTAACTTCAAGGAAACAGACATGCTTTCCACAGCATGGTGTGCCATTTTTTAACTAGATTCCAACAACAGAAACTTGCATTAAGGATAATTTAAATTATGGAGGATATTTATGTCATAATTTACGTAAAATTAATTGATTATTTATTCAGATAAACATATGAAAAATATTTGAAGCATAAGTTTTAACGCAACATATTTGAATTACGTAATCCAAACTTTTAAAAAGCATTTTATTTTATGAGCTGTTTGTTTGATATCATTTATACCTGAAGATGTCTATTTCACATAGACGAAAATGTTCATAGTAAGAATTTTTCTGTTTTGTTATGAACTGGTGATGGTTTATTTACTGAGTGGTATATTAATAGTAATTAATCCAATATTGTTTGCCTGTTTGATTTTGCACACATCTTTAACGACTAGACCAGGGGTGGCCAACAAGTTTTTGCCCGGGCCAAATTGGAAAGAAAACTTATTACACAGGCTCAACCAGAGGCTGCCCTACGAAGATTTTGAGATGGTGCGAGTTCTCATTGTGGTGTCACCCCGTAGAGACTAAATTGTACATAGAGATTACAGATATGTTTTTCACATTATCATGCTTTATCAACATTCTATGCTGTACTTAAGAGATTTGTAATGGAGGGTTAACTCTAAACGCACAGTGAGTTGTTGACCATATTTTTAGGCATTAGAATTTTTCATCAAGCTATTCGAACTTGAATAGCTAATATTGAAAGATTAATCACAGGCCATATAAATTCATTCGATGGGCCATATGTTGGCCATGCCTGAGCTAGACTATAATTTAAGTATGAAATACAAGCAATTTAAACTACTGCACTGAGAGCAAACGATTAAAGTGTTTAATATTTAAAGCACTAATTAAGACTGATAGCAATAACTGATAACATTCTGTATATAATCAGCCATATATCAGGGCAAGTAGTAAGGGAGAAAAAAGCATTTTACCCATTTACCATTTACTGAAAGACAACAACTATAACTGAACTCTGATTAAATAAACAAAGTTTCTAACTTATACTTTCTGACATAATTACCTTATAACATTAAACAACTGTTAACAATAACCATGATTACAACAAGCAGATTCTGCTTTATATATATATTATACAGTATCTTAAGGATATATTATATGTTATAAAAAAAATTCAAGACATGATAAACATAATCAAAATTTGAAGTATTCCTTTTTTTATTTTTTTTAACCTTTAACAAAGTTTTATTTTAACTGTCAAAATACAGTAGACCCTCCCTAAAACACAGTAGATACGTTCCGTTTTATATGAATTCCATGTTTTACGAGTCACTTAAATACATGAGCCAATCACAGCCCGGCACGTGTGCAGTTTAGGGACTATGGCTGTTTTAAAGGTTTTCTTCCATAAAATTAATTGATTCTAGACTAATTTGACTCAACATTTCCAAAACACGTATAATTTTTTGAGAATAATCCATATAAACTATGCTAGAAACAAAAAATTGTAAGATTACTTATTGAGAGTGCACTGTTCCATTCAAGCTTAAGCAATGTGCAATGCCATTGCTTAAGCTTGTTTTTGATGTGTTTTCTGATAAGTTATTTTTCTGTGAAAAATTCACTGAACTTTGAAGACATCATTAATACAAATATAATTTTTATGGCCGTTAAATAATAAATGGTTTTTAGTAGGTCCGCTGCTCGTTTAAACTCAACGGTTTGTGCAATATCCGCTATTGGTCTAGATTCGACCAATCCTGTCGTGACACGAGTCGGCAATGACATTTTACTGTATTATACAAGTCTCTTTTAGCGTGTTTATATGAATACAATCACAATTTTTTCGCTGTGTTATACGAATCCATATTATATGAACCCATGTTATAGGGGAGGTCTACTGTATTGCATTGTATAGCTAGAATAAACAATGGCATATTTATTCATAATTTATGATAAATTAAATTATAAATAAATCTTGATAGTAAATGGCATGACACTTTCTGAAAAGTTTATGTTATAGAATAACTGTTAAACGCGATAAAGATTAAAAGTAGCAGCATTTCAAAATTGAAAATTGTAATATCAGACAAATGTTCATAGATATAATGTAAAAACTTGCACCACCCCTATTATCAATTATAATTTGAACAACATTAACACTATACATATATTATATACCTTTGATGATGATCATATCTATGTTTATCAGGATTATAACAGCCTCCAACATCTACCACAATATGACAATCTTTAAGAATATTTTCATCTCTAGTTCTGTAATAATATTTTTATTAAATCAATTATTAACATTTATTTCTTTTATTATTATTATTATTAAAATTGATACTTAATGAATAAAATATTTATCATTATGAAAATGAGGCTTCTATGTGTTTGTAGATCTATCAAGCAATTAAATTAGTCTGAAATTATTATAGTTCTACTGTAATGACAAATAAAGTATTATTTAAAATAGTTAAAATTCTTACTAAATGAAATAAAATAATACTTTACAAAAGTAACAAGAATCTTAAGAGAGTATATCTTATTGAAAAATAGAAAATTTTTACATTTACAAAGTTTAGGATTAGGAAAATTTTAAAAAATTCATAAGTTAAAATGAGAACAGCTTTAATTTGTTTAAAAATGATCTTGAGACATATTTTTATGATCATTCATGAAAAACATTTGTTTTCATTACAATTTCTTATTTTTTGCTGGTTATTAATATCTTCATGAGTTTATTTATACATAAAGCCAGTACAATAGTAGTAATTCATTATCATTCAAATAACTAATTGAAATACTTTTTGAATTCAGTTAAAATTTACTACTATTATAGTCATATTTGTGAGGATCACAAATATTAGTAAATTTCACTTTAACATTAAGTAACAGATCTGTTATCTATAAGTTATAGAGCATTAGACAGAGAACAGTTTCTCTTGGTTGACTAGCTTAACATAAAGGTCATATGCTGAAGGATTTATTGTTTACAAGGGAAGTACATTTGATAATTTAGTTAAACATGGCATCAAATGAGAGATAATTAAAAGCATTAGGTATCTTGTAGGAAAAGGAAACTGAGTGCTGCAGCATAATTTTTGTTTTGGTGTGACACAAAAACACAAATGTAGTGATAAGCTTCTAATATTCTGTCTAACAAGGGGACCTTACAGTCTCAGAAATTCAGTTTGGGATGAGACTTCACAGGTTAGTAGTATACCTCAAGGGTGTCCACCCAGAAGAACTGTAAAGTGCACTAGCCAGAAGATTTCAAGAAAAAGGACTCTAAAGTTTTAATTGCAGCTCATATACTGGTCGATTTTACACTATGGCAGCACAGCGAAATGGCTGAGTCTGTAGTGAACTTGCTTGCCATGCAGGCGATCTAGGTTCGATCCTACCTTTGGCTAACTTTTTTTTTTAATTGTTTTAAAAATTATAACAACTTTTAAATAAAGTTAATGACCTAAAAGTATTATCAATCAAATCATAAATAATTTTATTTTATTTATGAAATGACTGTTACAGATAATTAAAACGTGAATTAAAGATAATATTTTATTTTTAAAAAGTTGAATAATTTCAAATGCATTTTTAATGGAAATAAATTAAACTTTAATTACACTATAACAAATTTTTGGGTAGGGTTTTATTTATATAAAAAATTTTACAATATTGTCTTTATTTGTCAATTTTTTATTTTACATACAAGCACCAGAATGATAATTATCATAAAAACATTGAAAATAAAAACTATTTTGACATCTTGCACAATTTATGAAGGACAACCTTTTTTTAAAAAATCTGTTGGAAAACATACTTCGTTTACATTCATGAAAATTTCTCTTTCATCAGAAAGCCTGGAAGCGTACTAGGCATACCAGACCATTTTATTAAAAATTGGCGATGACAGTTGATGATGCACTACACAGGTCAACAGTGGTATTTGTGCCCAGGTATTTTGAGCTGATTTCATATGAATTTGATGTCCTGAATTCAAATATAGCATTAGTTTTTGCCTAGGAGCTCTAATTTTTAAGATATAGCATTTTAGCGAACTATACGTTTCAATATCTTAATTAATTAAGTTAAATCCATGGATCAAGTAAAAAAACTAAACACGGAATTTGTATTATCATATTATGCAAATATTATTCTATACAAAGATAGAGGAAAAAGTCATCAATAAAACTAAACAGTTACACATTGAGGAAACTTATTTTCCATGACTTTTGTGAACGTATTTTGGAGCAATCCCTTTTTAAACTCCAGCAGTAATCTGCCATCATATGCATATCCCATCTTCCTTGGTAGCAGTCCTCCATAGTTTTAATATCCTGGTGAAATCTTTCACCTTGTTCTTCACTGGTGTCTCCTAAATTTTCAGGAAAACGGTCTAAGTGACTGTGTAAATAGTGCACCTTAATACTCATGTTACACCCAAGGGATTTGAAACTGTTAAGCATCTCGTTTACCAGTTCAACATAATTTTCAGCTTTGCATTTGCCTAGAAAATTTCTGACAACTGCAACAAATGAAGTCCAGGCTTTTCACTCAGCTTCATTCATTGAATTTACGAAGGCAAGATCGTTAATGAGTTGTCTTATTTGTGGGCCATCAAATATTCCTGCTTTAATTTTTTCTATACTTAACTGAGGCATTTTTTCCCCTTTTATATGCAAAGCATATAAAAGGGGAAAAAATCAAGAGCCTTTACAAACTGCTTCATTAGGCCTAGCTTGATGTGCAGTGGAGGAAAGATGATTTTCTCTCATTCAACAAAGAGGTCGTTAATGACATTTTTTTTCTCCAACGTCCATGTTTTCTCTCTTAGGCCACTCTTTTCTAATCCAGTGGTGTGTTTTGTCTCTACTATCCCAGAGGCACAAAAAGCAAGGATATTTGGTGTAGCCAATTTGCTGTCCAAGGAGAAAGTTTACCATTTTTAAGTCTACACAAATTACCCATTGATGTTCACGCTACTTTATCTTCTCCAAGACCAGAGCTATGGTGTTATATTCTTCTTTCATTTTTGTTGAGTGAGCAATTGGTACTGAACCATATTTGTTTCCATTGTGTAGAAGGACACATTTCAAACTTCGTTTTGAGCTGTCAATAAATAGGCACCAATCATCTGAAAAATATTCAAGAAGGCTCATTTTTTCCAAGAGCCCTCTAATTTCGTGACAAAACACAAGATTGTCTTCTTGAGAGAAGAAGGATAGCAGATCATTTTCTCTTGCACGGTAAAAGGTGATTTTGGTTCCTTGCTCCAGTAAATTTTTCTCCTTCAACCTGGAAGCCAATAATTTCAGAAGCTTCTTTTGGCAGGTTGAGATCTCTGGTGAGGTCATTTAACTCATCCTGGTTGAAACATTGAGGAATTGATGACATTGATACAATCAATAGCTATTGATTGTATTTTTATACAGTCTTCACAGGAATTTATTTCTCTATTATTTTCAATCAGATAAGCACAGTGTTGTATACGCTTTATTAGATTTTTTACCTGTCTATGAAATAGACGTCACAAGGTTGAACAAGAGGAGTACATTTTGGAGGAATCATTTTAATTGTACAAGTTGGTGATTTCTCATCATCCTGAAAGATTTCCTCATATAATTCAGGCTTTGTTTGTCCACCCCAAAAGTCAATAATTAATAGAAACTGTTCTTTTCCCACAAGACTTTAAACAACAGTTGAGAAAGTCAATATATAGTCCTGTCATTAGCATCCCAGATTTCAAAGATGTTATTACAACATTTTTATATTTTTGCACATATTCATTTACTGTTTTTTGAACTTGAGGGTCAAAGTTACTGGTTGCTTCTTGTAAACAAACAAATACTTGAGGTAGGACTTTTCTAGACAGAATGAGAGCATACTGAGCGATATGTGTATGTGTCACTTTATTCATGTCATGCCTTTTGACGAAAATAGTTTTGCTTCCTTTTTCATCCAGAGTCCTATTGTACACCGACTGATACTGACATCCTGGAAAGAGAAAACAAGCTATATTGAGGTATTGTAAGTTTAAAATCCACAAGTACAGGGGATGTCCATGTCCATTGTCATAGCTGACAAAAACATCAAGAAAAATTTAAAACACCTACATGTGCAGCTAACAGCCTACCAACTCCAGCAACCATTTAAAACACACATGTGCAGTTGCAGGACACAAATGTGCAAGTTTTGAAAAGTTAATTTTGGCATATCATGAATGTTAAATGCATGTCTAAAGGATTACAATAAAAAATTGTCATAGAGATCAAATTAGTAGCAATCATAAACTCAATTGACATATAGTACACAATAAGCTTATAACCAGCAATCCACCCAGAGTGTTTACATAGAGAAATTTGACTTGAAAATTCTGACTTCAGCCTTGCTGAGTTGTACATATGTGAAAAAAATCATATCATTAATAGTCATGTGGTTGCTTTGAACTTCAATCACAGATAAAACTGAGATAAGCAGGGGACCACTGAGTCAATTCTTAGTGACCACTTAAACTGCATGGGTTGGCAAAACCTGACCTCTGTGTTGTCAGATGGCGTTAGGAGGGCAAAATTCAGTGGAGGAGGTCATTGGTATGTCGATAGGTGTTCTTTTTGGTGAATAAGACAGGTGGACAAATTTAACAATTAACAAAAGAAAGTTTATTATACAACTAAACCTACGATACATATAACTAAACCTAAGATTAGATGCGGTTAAATGAGTTAGATGCATTATATAAGTTAGCTGCAGTTAAATACATATACACTCCTATGGAGTGGATTGACAAAAGTTTCTAAACAGCTTGCATGCTGACCTAATGACCTAGTTCTGTTACTACTTATGCTGAGATAGAGTTTACAAGAATCTATAGATACATCAATATTCATTGATTAGATTAGATGACGTTCATTCAATCAGAGAGAGAGAAATTCGATGAGGATTGGTGATTGTATGGCAGGTCTTCTTTTCATTGACTTGCATTGGCTGAGACAGTGTTTGTGGAGGTCCGCTGAACCTGGCACCTAGTAGTCAATTACTTTGGGGCACTAATTAATCTATTCACCTTCCTTCAGACTTCGCATGGGATGACCGCCCGGAACTTCGGTGTCTCCACCTTTTATGCTTGGTGCCTGGGAAAATGACCATGTGATTGACTATTGACATGTCGAAAGTTCACTCCCGGATGCGAGCATAGGTTTCTTCCAATGATGTTTAATAACAGCTGTCCCTCTTTCACAATTGAATGTTTTCCTTTTGCCATCTTGTTGTCAAAATTCCTCTCAGTTTGTTTAGAGAGAATATTATCTGATCCAGTCTAAAGCAATTTTTTTTTTTTAATAATTGTGTTAAGAAATTAAATTCAATTCGTAATTTTGCGCGAAATTCACTCATTCCTCCGCTCAGGCCCGTAGATAGGCCTGTTGTATGTAAATAGCAGATATGTAAATAAAAATGTTTTTGTATGTTTGGCAATGCCCAGCCAAAAAGTAAGAATGCTAAACACAAAATTTAAAACCATATTACAAGTTTGGTTATTGACAAGACTATGTCTTGTTTATAAAATTGTACTACCATTTTATGATACCAGCATAGAGGTACAAAAGAGTACATGTTGAGAGTTGATATTTGGCACAGAGTATCTGGATTTTTTTATGTGCAAATGATTTGGGCATTTTTTTATGCCCAAATCATTTGTGCATAAAAAATCCAAACTTGTAGGTAGTCAGGGGACTGAGAACAGAGTCAAAATAAAATACAAAATGGCAACCCTCTTCTACAAACAGGCAAAACAGGCACCTCATCCCACCGAAGTCAGGTGGGGGAGAGTACCACCCACAGTCATTCTAAGAAGTGAACTCTGACCTTAGGACTGAACACACAGTTTCTTCCATGTTAAATAAAATTTGTAATCTAATTTTGTAAATTTGGGAGTGCTTCAAATATGACATTAAAACGGTTTTATGTTGTTACAAGTAGTTTTTTTAACATTATCTAGTATAGTAAAATTGTGGGACCAATAAAAATTTGATGTTATATTAGGGTTGTTGTTACATCCGATGAAGTTATAATCAGGTTAAACTGTATATGGTTTGCGCAAAATAAAAATATAATTTCGGACAATAGCCATGATTATTTTATCAAAAATGGGAACTTTTCATATTGTGCCCTAAAGCAGCAATACCAAAGAAGATTGGAGAATGAGAACGAGACCCACCTTGAGTGTCAGTGATTCCACTTAGTAGTGCGTCTCCAAGACATAGTGTTGTCCCAAATACGGCTTTGCCATTTTACTTGTTTTAGTCTACCATTGTTATGTTTATCATAAGGTGTCAAGAAGGAAAAGAGTGGGGAGTCTACACCATCACAAAAACATGGATCAAAATTTAAGTAATAAATTAATACTACAGATAAGAATATCAAACTAACATGCAATTATCAATAGATATTTTCACACATCATACATCAATTTTGCTAAACAGGAAATGATGTCACAACTTTAACTCAAAAGTATGCTTTAAATCAAAAAATGGTCTAGAGTTTTCAATTCAAAATTAACCTGTTTACAACCCTTCCATTTTTTACACACATTTCTGTTACTGTATCTGATGAAGAACCATCTAGTTCAATAGACTATGAATTTCTGAGAAACCATCTAGCCCAAAAGTTCCAACTGAACATAATTGTGAGATAGCAAAAATTCTTATATTTGAAGTAATCCTTAATAATAACGTTTCATGAATTACGCAACAATTGTTGTTCTTAGCTACCTGAGAAAGTCTCCCGTTACATTTTCTCGAAAGCAACATGACGCTTTCTCGTGAACTATTAACCTCTGCACGGCCGAAATCGTCCGTGAGTATCATCAGAGACGGCCGAAAAGAGTTAGTCGCTGCCTTAGTCCTCGGAGAGGAAAGACGTCCCTTCAATTATCATCCATTAAGGAATCCGAATTAATCGCCATAGGATAAACTTGTCTGTGTGTGTGTGTGTGTGTGTGTGAATCGCCTGGATAACGAATCAGAAACCTTAAACCCATCGGAAGCTGTTATAATCCGAACAAGATCCGAACAAGACCCGAATCTATTAACAAAGGTATTTATCATCCCGCGAAGTGTATGTGCACTCTCTCTCTCCGCGAAAATTCTTCATCCAATAGATTTGTAAATAAACCCTTGTTAATTAAGTGTATCTGAGTCACTTCCAATGTTGTCTCTCGAATCGACATTAAGAATCCGTCTGACCACATACGGAACCGCTCGCGCGACGGCGTGACGTAATCGCCGTCTCGGTTTCCGTGTTTCGAGAAACACGGTGGTGTCACTCCTGACAGGGTACCAAAGAGGTGCCGACCCGAAAGGTCACAGTGGTGTCAGAGCGCGGGATTTTAAGATAGTGGGAATTTAAGATAGTAACGGAGACTAGCTAGGAAAATGGAAGGGAAAGAAGGTCGCGCGCCGCGTGGAGAGACAGCAGGAAGTGCTGCGGTAGGCGGACTTGGGGGCATGATTCCTCTCATACCTTCTTTTGCCGGAGATCCAGATGGCCTTAAGGTCACGGATTTTTTTGAGTCCTTAGATGAGATTGGTAAATTGACAAATTGGACCAAGGCGCAATGTTTAGGAGTAGCTAAATTGCGATTAACGGGGATAGCCCGAGATTTTGCGTGGAAGGATGCCACGATGAAAGATGTAACAACTTATGACGAGTTCAAAAAGCTTATGATAAAAAGATTTGAAAAGGAACCTATCTCTTTACAATTACAAAAGTTTCACGCTTGCGTGCAAGCGCCGGGAGAGGACGTGCAGACTTACGCCGTCCGATTGCAAACCTTAGTGGTAGAAATTATTAAAGAGCAACCTAGTGATAATGCACAGGAAAGGGAAGTTGTAAAACGGTGCCAACAAAAGGAAAGAGACAAACGGTTGTTAGTACAGTTTATGAGTGGACTCAATGATCGAATAAAGCGACACGTGATGTCAAAAGAGCCCGATACCTTCGATAAGGCGGTGCGAATAGCTATTAGCGAAGAGAGCATAGAACAATTAACGGGAAAATCTCGGGGAATAATAAGGACTATAGATAACACTAGCGAAAAAGATACTAACCATAACCCATTAGAAGAAACGTTGACGAAAATTCAGGAGCAACTTCAACGATTGACACCTTCGGACTATAGTAGAAGAGATCCTCGACGTGGACCTCCCCGTGGTTGGCGTCCTCGGGATTATCGAGACTCACGACGACAATATCAATCTTCCGGGGGACGAGGCGACGACTCACAAGGACCCCGCGATACATACTTTGATAGAACAAGGCGGGAAAATCAGGACCTTACATATGCCCCTCGATATGGAACGAGGAATTTCACGAATAATCCTAGAGGTCGAGGAATCGGACGAGCTCGATCAATACCGCCTAGGAGACAAGCATATGGGCGAATTAATAAAGTAAACTGGCAAAAGCTTAGAAGGGGGACTAATCAAGGATCTACTAAGGATCCACCGTATCCAAGGAGAAACCACTTCCAGTCACCTGGAGAGACAAATCATTTCCGATCATCGAGAATAACAAACGAATACCAAGCAGGACGTGGGATGCAACTAATATATAGAAACCGAGGGGGAATTAAATCGCTGGGCCGTGATTTCGAACCGAATTTAGCTTGTCGTATCAATGGATATGCTGTTCGATTGGCCATAGATACCGGCTCTAAAGTAACGCTTCTTTCCTATGCTCTAGCTCAACGAATCGCTCAAGTACAACTTGATAGGAAAAAGGGGACGATTTTATTCCAGAGCGTTACAGGCCATGGGATAATAACATACGGAGCCCTAGACGTTTGTTTTGAAATTGGCCCTTTACGGTTCTCATACTCTTGCTATATAGTTGATAATGTGATTACTCAACCGTTTGATGGATTACTCGGAAGAGATATCATTACCTCACAAGGATTAACAATTTGTTTAGCAAGAGAGATATTAATACTCCCCAAGGGAGAGGAGATCCCTTTCCAAAAGGGGCCCAAAAGACAGAGAACAACAACATTAGCACAGGTGGATAGAAAACGAAATTATAAGGGCACCTATATAAAGTCTGGAAAATACACGAGGCCCAAGCAGTCTTCCATCCCAGATATTTCTAAAAATAGACCTCCGGAACCCAGATCAACAGGGAATTCAGAACCAACTCAAGAGGTAGTTCTATTAACAGATTGTAATCTTTCTCCAAGAACGGAAGTAATTACAATGGGCCGAATCATCGGAGTGAAGAAAAAAGGCCTAGTCGGAATTATAGAAGCAGGGAAGCTTCAGCAGGATGGAGTTGCGGGAGCAGATATCCTAGTCAAAACTAAGAAAGGAGGACAAGTGCCTATTCGCATAAGCAATTTCTCCACCCAACCGAGGAAGATTCCCAAGGGAGAATGTATAGGGACCTTTCTTCGAGCCATGGAAGACAACCCTTCCCCAACTTCGAAGCCTATCAATCTATCACCTAACCCAACCATTACCAAAGAGGAATTTAGTCGACTATTTGATTGGTCCCATATCGGAAAAGAAAAGAAAAAACCATTACTAGATTTATTATACAAATATCACCATGTCTTTGCTACCCACGATTACGACTTAGGATATTGTCAGGTAGTCGAACATGAAATTAATACTGGAGATGCTTCTCCCATCTATCAACCTCCGTATCGGATACCCTATGCTCAGAGGGAGAAAATGAACGAAATCATTGACGAATTACTAGAGAACAAAATAATAACCCATTCAAAATCACCATGGTCAGCGCCAGCATTATTGGTTAAAAAGAAGGACCCAGGACTATGGCGTCTCGTCATAGACTATAGGAAATTAAACAAAGTGACTAAAAACGATCCATATCCCTTACCTTTGGTGCAGGAAGCACTCAGCTTGATGGGACAAGCAAAATACTTCTCCACCATGGACACCCTTTCGGGGTTCTGGCAATTAGCCCTAAAGGATAAGGAGAAATCCGCATTTTCCAGTCCCGACGGACACTATCAGTGGAATCGTATGCCGATGGGCCTGGCTGGAAGTCCTGCCTCTTGGCAACGCGCGGCGGACTTTATCCTTCATGGGTTAAAAGGAAAAACCTGCCTTGTCTATATGGACGATATCTTAACCTTCAGTTCGGACTTTCAGAGCCATTTAACACGGCTAGAACAAATCTTTCAACGTCTGGCTGCTGCCGGCTTAAAATTAAAACCAAAGAAATGCCATTTTTTACAAAGACAGATTAAGTTTTTGGGACATGAGGTATCAGACGAGGGAATACGACCAGATCCAGATAAAATCAATTGTGTATTGACTTTTCCTAAACCTGTTAACAAACATGACATCAAATCATTCTTAGGCTTAACCGGATATTACCGACGTCATATAAAATCTTATGCAGATATTGCTAAACCATTAACAAATCTATTAAAGAATGATGCTCAGTTCCAGTGGGGGGAGGAGCAAGAACAAAGTTTTGAAAGGCTAAAAGAGATAATTACATCGGCTCCACTATTAAAATCCCCAGATTTTTCTAAACCTTTTATTTTGGCTACGGACGCCTCTAATGAAGCGATCGGTGCAGTATTATCCCAGGAAGATGAAAGAGGGGAGATGCCCATTGCCTATGCAAGTCGTATATTAAGGAAGCCCGAAAAGAACTATAGCACTACGGAGAAGGAGTGCCTAGCAGTGGTGTGGGCTACGAAATATTTTAAACCGTATTTATACGGCAGGAAATTCACCATTATAACCGATCACCGCCCATTGAGGTGGCTTATGAGTAATAAGGATTCTAGTTCAAACTCTCGCATTGCCCGATGGATTATATTTCTACAGGAATTTGACTTTACTATCACCCATAAAGCAGGAGATTGCCATAAAAATGCAGATGCATTAAGTCGTATCCCTATTCGACAGATTACCCAGAAGGAAGAACTCGTACCTATTTATTCCAAAACCCAAATTCGAGACTTACAGAGACGAGATCCAAAATGGAATTCCATCATCCAAAACTTAGAAAATAATATTACCGTTCATCCTAACCTTGAAAAATTTTTCTTGGATGAAGAGGAAACCCTCTATCACCTACAACCTACCAATCAGGGGGATACTTTGGAACAATTGGTTATACCATCCATCTTAATACCGTACATTCTACATACCTATCATGACACTCCAATTGGTGGTCATTTGGGACCCCAGAAAATGCTACAAAAACTTCAACCCTTATTTTTTTGGTCGACTATGAACCGAGATATAAAAAACTACTGTCAAAATTGTCAACGATGTGCTCTCCATAAACGAAAGGATAAACGAACTGAAGCTGAGTTACAGCTATTTCCTCCTTTAACACATCTATTTGAACGTACTGCTATGGATATAGTGGGACCTTTACCCATTACCAATAACGGAAATAAATATATATTAGTCTTTGTTGACCATTTTAGCCGCTATGCCGAAGCTATACCTCTACCTAACACCCTTAGTAAAACTATTGCTAAGGCCTTTGTTGTTAATATCATCTTGAGACATTCCACCCCAGTACAACTTCTTACCGACAGAGCTCCAAATTTAATCTCAAAAATGTTCAAGGAGGTATGTGAATTACTTCAAATTAAACGACTGCTTACGACAGCTTATCACCCAGCCTGCAACGGCATAGTCGAAAGGTTCAATAGAACCCTCATTGACATTATCTCACATTATGTGTCGAAGGATCAACAAGATTGGGATGAGTGGATTCCCTATGCTTTATTCGCATATAACACCACAATCCATGCTTCTACCAATGATAGCCCATTTTTCTTGCTATATGGAAGGGACCCAACATACCCATTTGACCTCATCACCCGTCCTACACGGACACGATATGACGTGGAAGAGAACTTTGCCGCAGAATTGCAATTACGAATGGCTAACGCACATCGGGTTGCTCAAGAACACGCCGAGCAAGCTGCTAGAGAACGTCAGAAACAACACCGTCGTACTCATAAAATATCTACTTATCAAGTGGGGGATAGAGTTTTCCTTAACGAGATCGCTCTCTCTCCGGGTCTAAAGAAGAAACTAGCACCCAGATGGTCGGGTCCATTTCGCATTATAACTAAATTGAGTCCTGTTACCTTTATAATCGAAAATATCCAAACAAAAAAGACCCTTCATGTCCACGCTAACCGGTTAAAACATGGCACCGCTCAGCAAGAATTAGAAGAAATGAATGAATCTGAAACACAATCAATCATAACTTCTAATTTAGCAAAATCCAAAGACCCATTACCTTCCACCTCCATGTTCATCGATCCATGGGATGAAGTCATCCTCACCGAAATACAGCAACAAGCAGAATCAGAAAGAGAAGACGAAGAAGACGTAACTACTGAGGAGAAAACGAGAGAACCTGAACTAACTCCTTCACCTCCTTATGCCTTAAGAAGTCAAGGACCAGTGGAGGAACAACCTTGGATTCTTCCCACTCCTCGACGAAGTCGAATTCCTAAACGAAAGGCTAGCCCACCTAAAAATGGAGTTAACACTCAACCAAAAATGACCAAACGAGGGACTTAACGTGAGAAACAAAAAATGCATGACCCCAGGGCTCCTTCCTTCTCTAAACTTTTTAAAATAAACGTGAACCAAGAAAAAAAAAACTTGAAAAAAAAACTTGATATAGTCCCTCTCTACATCTCTTTAATCACTTCAATTTTTTTTTCTCCTCCAGAATATCATCATCCACCATGCACTTAACCCTTCTGCTCCAACTTGCCTTCCTCACCTCAGGGATCTCCACTCTCCATATCAACCCACGAGAGGACCCTCATAACCTCCACAAAGGTGTGTCTTTGTACACCAAGGAAATTTCTTTATGACTACCAATTACTGGATTCTTGTTTTGGATATATCTTTTGATTCTTACGAGGAACAATTACACCTTTTAAAGCGACATATTCAATTGTTAATCTCATTAGTACAGCGAATGCGCTCTTCATCTCAAGATGACCCTACTGTTCCACGATGGTCTCTATCTGTTGATGAACTCACCTTCCTACAAACCACCCTAACAGGATATGAAGCGGATTACCGGGAATTACAAACATTAGTAACCCTTACTAACGTTACTCGAGAAAAAAGAGGCTTAATAAATGCTGGAGGCAAAATCCTCAAATATCTATTTGGAACAGCCACATCGGAAGATATTGAAAGTCTCAACGAAAAAATAGCGCAATTATCCGAAACAAACATGGAATTTACTCACTTTCTCCAGTCTCAAGCAACTTTACTCAATGATACCTTGCGAATCGCCAAGACAAATCGAAACCAAATTTATACTTTGATAAAAAAGCAAACCCTCATCGAAGAAACATTAATCCAACACCAATATCATTTAGCAGTAGAATCAGCAGTTCGATCTACCGAGTTCTCCATCAGAGAATTTCGAACTCTAATACTTGAGATCCGAAATGCCATCGAAACCTTGGAACAAGGCCGACTTAGCACTTATTTTCTCCCCAAAGAAGTGTTATTGAACACCCTCAAAGAGATACAATTACATTTACCCGAAGGATATTCCTTCTTGGAAACACCCCGACTTGAAACCATCTTCAAATATTACCAATGGACATCTATTACAGCCATAGCCTTAC